GAGAAAGGGATCTTTCTGCGGGCAGGAGAGGGGCCAGGCTGGCTGGAAGGAGCTGCCTTCTCCTCGAGATTAGATTTTGGCATTCCAAAACAGGTGGGAGCYCTGGGACGGGGTTTGGCACCTCAGAACAGACTCCACTTTAGTGTCTTTTGACTTTATTTCCACCCCATTCGGCCGTGGTTGAGCCCGTCCCGATCACACCCCCCTCCCTCCCTCGGGGACACGCTGTGGGGTGGCTTTGCCACCTCCTGGTGATGTCCCACGATCTGTGATCCTCCCTCGGGGACACGCTGTGTGGGGTGGCTTTGCCACTGCAGATGATGTCCCCTGATCTGTGATCCTCCCTCGGGGACACGCTGTGGGGTGGCTGTGCCACTGCAGACGATGTCCCCCGATCTGTGATCCCACAGAGCTCAGTCCCGCGGGTCAGTGCTGCACGGCCGCCGGAACTCCTGCCCGTGCTCGTGGATCCATTTATTGGCCACTGAAGGGACAAGGACACGGATCCCTGTGTGCTGCACCCCCGCTATCGGGAATTTGCTCCCGCTCTCCCGGGTATTTGTGCGTTCCCAGCCCCTGCCGGTGGAGCTGTTCCCCGCCCTGTGTCACCCAGGGTGRCAGCTGGTGACATCTCTCACCCCACTTGGAGCCAGCGAGCACAGGGCAGCCGGCATGGAGCGTGTCCCCATCGCCGTCCCCGTTCCTGCGCAGGTTCCACCAGAAAAGAGCCGCGTTCTGCAGAGCACAGATGGGTTTGGCACCCTAAACCACAGCTGGGATCCTAAAGACTGAGTTTTGGCACCCGAAACAGATCAGGGAGCCCTGGGGCTGGGTCTGGCACCAGGAGAGGCTCGATTTCAGCAAGAGCTGAGATGCAGAGAGCAGCGTCCTCCCTTCCCTGCTCCCCCTCACCTTCACCACGGGCACGCTGAAGTTGGCATAGATGAAAGCAGTGGAGCCTCCAGCTTCCACTGGGCTCAGCTGGAAAAGGAGCAAAAATAGGAACCGTGGATCCCCCTTTTCCTGTGATGGTGCTTTGCACAGGGAAACTGAGGCACAAAGCGTCCCTTGGGCCCCAGCTCTGTTCCCATGGCTCTAGCACGGCACAAACCCCTGAAGGCTCTGCAGGTGCTGGCATTTCCCACCCAGGGCAGGGTTTTAGGGCYGCCCTGCCCATCCCATGCCCTGAGGACCAAGGCAGTGCCATCTCTCCAGCCCTGCAGGTGAGGGGGGACTCACGTAGATCATGACGGTGGCGATCCTGTTCCCCGACTTCATTCTGTACAGGGGGCTCTTCAGGGACTGCAGGAGGTGGGGACAGTGAGTCCCGTGGGGACACTGAGTCCTGCACTGAGCTCAGCTCAGGTGCCCCTCCTGCCCCAGCAGCTCCTCCTGTCCCACCCCATTCCCCCCAGAAAATCCCTCCCTCTCCCTTCTTTTCTCCCCTTTCTTCCTCCCTCTGTCCCTTCCCAGGAATACACCAGACCCCACCCAGGATCATCCTGGGACCACCCATCCCACCCCTGCCTGGGGCCATCCCAGGGTCCAGCACGAGGAACATCTCAGGGAATGACCCTGGACCACCATGGGGACAGCCCAGGGACCACTCAGGGACTGCCCTCGGGTGCCACCACAGGAGCACCGTGAGAGTCATCCCAGGGCTCCTCTCAGGAATATCTAAGGGGCCACCCAAGAGTTCTCTTCAGGAACATGGGAGGAATCCCCCAAAGCCAGCCCAAGGTCCATCCCCAGGAACACCCCAGAACCCACCCCAGGAACACCCCAGAACCCACCCCAGGGCACCACAGGAACACCCCAAAACCCACTTCAGGAACACCCCAAAACCCACCCCAGGAGCGCCACAGGAACACCCCAGAACCCACCCCAGGAGCACCCCAGGAACACCCCAGAACCCACCCCAGGAGCGCCACAGGAACCCCCCTGGACATCCCCACAGCCCCCCCAGCTCCCTGACCGTGGCGTGGTCGAAGTGTGGCTCGTAGTGGCCCCCCAGGCCGTAGTTGACCACCTGCAGGTACTCGGCGTAGGGTGGCCGCAGGTCCAGGCCGGTGAGGGCGGCGATTCTCCGGTCCAGCGCCCGCACCACGGGGTCAGCGGTGTCCTTCAGCCACGCACTGCGGGACCAGAGCCCCTTCAGCCCCTGGGCTTTATCTCAGGGAATGCTGGAGCAGCCAGCGCTCCTGGTGTGGCTTCASTGCCCCTCAGAGGTGGCCACGGAGCCACCGTGGTGCCCCTGGCTGGAGGATGGGCAGGGCTGGCTATTTATTACCTCTTGCTTATCCTGTAATCTGCCTTCTGCTGCTTCTCCCCTGAGGCGACCACGGATCTCTGCAGCTGARGGACAAGGGGGGATGTGTGTTATTGCACATGGGGACCCTCACCCCGAGCAGGGGTTGTGGCTGACTGTGAAACATCCCACCCCAAATCATCCCACTGGGGTGAGGAGAGCAGGGACAGCAGCAGAGCCAATGCCCTCGGGTGTCACCAAGTCAAGCCTGGCTGGGAAGCAGTTTAGGTGCAGCTGTGGACCTGGTTTCTTCCCAAAAATCTTTTGRGGGGCTCAGATGGAGCTGGGTTCATCATCTCCAGGGTCTCATGGGAGTGGTTTGAGCTGGAAGGGATTTTTGGCTCCAAGCCCCATCCCATCTGTACCCTCTGCAGGAGCCTTTGGGCTCAAAACCCCTCCCATCTCTGTGTTCAGCCTGGATCACCATCCCCTGGGACACCCTGCTGCAGGACAGGGACACCCCAGCACAGGGGACAGCTCACCCAGGGCCCTGCCAAGCCCTTGATGGTCTCAGCCTCGGCGTCGCTGATGAAATCGTGGTACAGAGCCACGAAGGGTCGCAGCCGCACCGTCTCCTTCTTGGCGGGCTGCAGGACCAGGTAGGGGCTGCTGTTGGTCTCGTAGGAGCAGCTGAGCTGTGGGAGCCGCTCTGGGCTCTGCTGGGGAGAAAGAGGAGCACGGAGAGTGAGAGGGGACAGCAGAACGGGGACCGTGGCACCGCTGCCAGCCCCACCTGTGCCCCGCGGCGCTGGCACAGCTCCTCGTAGGCGTCGCGGCTCTGCAGGCGGGGGCTGTTGGGGCGCTGCAGGGGGCTGCCCCTCGTCCCTGTCCCCATCTCCAACAGCTTCTCGTACTTGGCCACGTTCCTCAGCACCCTGKGGTTGTTGGGATCTGCCAGAGAGGTGGTGTCACCCACAACATCCACATCAACCCCCTTCCCTGGAGAATACCCCACGTGGGGACAAGAAATGGGGACAGGGAGGCTGTTGCCATGCACAGGTGAGGGGGACATCCCAAAATCTCTGCCCTCTTCCTGCTGCATGTGGGGCTGTCCCACATACCATAGTGGAGAAACTCCCTGGAGAGGCTCAAGGCGTGAGAGATGTTCCCAGCCTGGAAGGGCGAGTGGAGACCCCGTGAGCATCCATCCCCCAGCATGGTTTGGCTCTGCTGGGTGGGGAGGGGCTCGTGGCTGTACCATGAAGTAGGAGAAGGCCAGATGGTCCAGAGCATCCTCCAGGCTGCTGCTGTCCTCCGGGTTCCAGCTGCCGTAGGAGAGGCGGAAGAGGCTGACGGCCTCCTCGAGCCACGCGATGGAGTGGTAATGGTCACCCATGTCATAGGCCACCTG